GGGGTGGGACTTTATGAGCCCTTCCCACTTTGATGATGCAATTTTGGCTAGCTTGATTTTGTGCATTGATTTGTGGTCCCAGCTTCTGTGAGTTCATGGGTGTGTATGTGTGTGTATGAGTGTGTATGTGTGTGTCTTGCTTACTTAATAGGTGTAAGGCTATAGGTTTCATCCCCATTACACTTCATAATGGTAAAATTACAATTATGAAGTAGCAGTGAAATGATTTTAAGGTGGGGGTCACCACAGTATGAGAGACTGTATTAAAGGGTTGCAGCCTTAGGAGGGTTGACAACCACTGGACTAGAGGAAACTCAGTTGAGAAAATACCTTCATCAGATTGCCTATAGGCAAGTCTGTGGGTGTATTTTCTTTCTTTCTTTCTTTCTTTCTTTCTTTCTTTCTTTCTTTCTTTCTCTCTCTCTCTCTCTCTCTCTCTCTCTCTCTCTCTCTCCCTCCTTCCCTCCCTTCCTCCCTCCCTCCCTCCCTCCCTCCCTCCCTCCCTCTCTATCTAGCTATCATCTATCTAACATTATTCAGTTTACATCGATTGCAGCCCTCTCCCTCCTCCTCCCAGTCCCACTGTCACAGCCCTCCTCCTCCCATACTTCCCGTGGATACCAACCTCCCCTGGCACATCAAGTAGCAACAGGACTAGAGGCATCATCTCCCACTGAGGTCAGACAAGGTAGCTCAGCTAGGGGAAAGGGATCCAAAGGCAGTTCACAGTCGGAGACAACCCCTACACCAATTGTTAGGCAATGTACATGAGGTATTTTCTGGATTGAAGGTTGATGAGAGAGGGTCCAGCCCACTGGGAGGTGGTACACCCCCTGAGCAGGTGGTCCTAGGTGGTATAAGAAACAAGCTGAGCAAGCCATGGGAAGCCAGTAAGCAATGCTCTTCCATGGTTTCTGCTTCAGTTCTTGTTTCCAGTTTCCTGCCAGGTTTCTTAGTCAAATCAGACATTTTTTCTTTCTTTCTTTGAAACACTTAATTTTTAAATTAATTGATCTCTCTGGTTTTCTCGACTTGTTAAAAATTAAGTTCTATTTTGATTTTTAGTTTCCTCTTTGATGTTTTTGAGTTTTGATCATTCTCTAGACTTTTGGGTTGTATAGTTAGGTTTCTTCTTCCTCTACCTCTTCTTCCTCTACCTCTTCTTCCTCTTCCTCTTCTTCCTCTTCTTCCCTTCCCCTTCTCTTTCTTTTTAAATTAGCCATTTATTGTTTTATAATTTCCTTTTAGAAATGCTTTTGCCATGTTCATATGCGTTTACTGTTCTAGAGCTGGAGGGATTTGGGAGACTGCAGCTGACAAGTGAGGGGGACTAAAGCCTTATACAATAGGCAGCTTTTTTCAGAGCATCAGACAGTTATTCTCTGGGTTAAGAGGAGTCACGTGTGTACACATGAGTAAAGTGTACAACCACAGGGCAACCTGCATGTGGTGGGCAAGTCACACAAGGCACAAACATGTTTTTCCATAGAGGCATATAACAAAAACAATAGCCAATTGTAGTGAGTAATCTTAAGTAAACTCACTCCTATCTGCTACACCCGAAAGAGGCACAAAAGCAAGTTCTAAGAGAGGCTAACGAACCACATTGAGATCCAAGACCTGGATCCCCAAGTCTTCAAGGAGATGATGGGCTTCATTTACACAGGGAAGGTACCACTCTTCCACAGCTACTGCCTGGCCACTGATGTGCTGGCAGCTGCTGACAAGTATGGCCTGGAGACTTGATGGCCATGTGTGAGGATTCCTTCTGCAGGAACCTCTCTGTGGAGAATGTTACACACACTCTCTTCCTGGCTGACCTCCACAGCAGAAAGCTCCTGAAGACTCAGGCCCTGGATTTCATTACACTTTATCCTTTTGAGGTTTCTGAGACCTCAGGGTGGAAGTCAATGGTGTAATCACATCCCTACTTGGTGGCTGAAGCACTCCACTCCCTGAATTCACACAGTGTCCTTTCTTGGAGCCATCACTCAAACACCTAAAAGGATCTTAGAAGCTGGTCAGCTATGACCTACACCTGTCTTCCAACAGCAGCATCCAGTGTTGTTATCAATGACTTCTTGTTAGACTACTTTATTGCTGGAGAATTTGCAGTGAATTTGGGGAAAGGCAGTATGATGGCTCAGATTTAAAACAGCTGTAATATTTTAAAATGATGGGTGGGGGAAGAGCAGCAGTGGAGTCTGGGACATTCTACCTGACATCTACCCTGTCGATGTTCTAGTTTGGTTTTCTTCTGATGACTTGGAAACTGGGATTCAATGTAGGTGCTGGCCCTAAGCACAGCCCAGTGGAGTTTCTTCAGAGAAACAAGTCTGCATTGGACCAAGCAAAACAGATGACCGGAGCCAGAGGAAAGGAGAAATCATGAATGTTAACTCGTCGGAGAAGGAAAAGACAATGAAGGATTTTTTTTTTTTTAAGATTCAGTTTGTGGGAACTAAGCTGCAGAAGCAGTTACTTCTCTCTCCGAGAACTTTGGTTAGGTTCTCAGCACACACAGTAGAGTTTCATCCACCTGTTTTTGGTGATTGAGATGATCTGAGGCCCTCCTGTGGTGTCCATTGCTACAAACAGCTCTGTAGACAAAACCTTAACCAAATAATAAAATACAATATGAATAAAACTTTTGAAATAAAGAAAGAATGATCTTGTGTTTTTGCAGAAACTGGGTCACAAGACTCCTGTCTTCTGCAGTTTTCTCACAAGAACTCAGAATTCTCAGATGACTCCATCCTTGGACTGTTTTCGTATACATATGCCTTGCTATTTATATTTCCACTTTACTTTATCCCATGATATTTTATTATCTCCCCTTTGACTTCTTTAGCCTATATGTTATTGGGGGATATGTTGTTGGGGAATATGTTGCTGAGTTTTCACATAGTTTTGAATTTAAAATTTTCTCATCATTAATTTTTATAATAGTTTCATACCATCTGTGGTCAGAAAGAAATTACTACTTAAAACCTTGAATTTATTAACACTTGTTTTGTGGCTTAATATATAATCTGTCCTAGAAAATGTTCATTTGTGATTCAAAATTGTGTGTACTCTGGTGTTGAATATACTATTCTAAGTACGTTGGGTAGCTTCATTTGATCTGTAGTATTTCCCTTAATGGTGGTGGTATGCCCAGATGATCTATCCTTTCTTTAAAGTGGGATATTGGGCTGGTGGGAGTGTTCAGTAGATAAGGTGTTGATTCCTAATACCCTCATGGTGGAAGGAGAGAATTGCTGTGGCATGCATGCATGTCTCAAGTAAATAAGGAAATGTAATGACTTTGAATGTGGAATATTGAAGTCCCTAGTATTAATTCACTGTAATTTTGCCTTCAATTGTGTTAACATTTGCCCTGTTTTTTTCATTACTCTGAAGTTTGGGTTATATTTATAATCGTTGTATTTTCTTGATGAAGTGACTGTTTTATTAGCATATCATGACTTTTTGTGGCAGTTTTTGACTTAAAATATGCTTTGTCTGGTAATATCTCTGCTTTCTTTAGTATGTTGTTTACATGGAATATTTTTTTCAGACCTTCCATTATCAGCCTATTTTCTTCTCAAGAGCTAAAGTTTAAGAGAGAATGTTGTTTGTTCATGATTCTTATGTTTAAATTGATTTATCTATTCTTAAGTTTTGATTGGGGAATATAATCCATTTACAGTTAATGATAGAAAGGCCCTTACTACTATAATTATATTCCGGTTTGTAGTCTTTTCCCTTTCAGATTCTCTTTTGATATTTTCCTTTGTGATTTTTTTAAAGTAATGATATATTTTAATTGTATTTTTGTTTTCATTGTGTATCTACTATAGGTTTTTCTGTTACTATAGACTACACAAAACATCTTGTAGTTATAGTGTGTTCTTAACATTTTAGTGTTGTTACAAATTTGACTTCAATTTGCTTGTGAGCCTAATTTCAGCACTCAGGAAGCAAAAGCAGGAGGATTACATATAGGAGGCTAGGTTTGGTAAAAGAGGAAGACCTTTCAAGAAAGCAAAAAACATCCAGGCGTGGGGTAGCATGCTTTTAATCCCATCAGTTGAGAGACAGAGTTGAGAGAATCTCTGTAGGTTTTAGGTCAGCTTGGCCTAGAGAGACTCTGTCTCAACCTTCCCCTGCCCCCCAAAACTTACAAACAAACAACAGAAAGGAAAATAAAAAAGAAATAACCCACCAGGCAAAAACAATAAACACAAAAATAAAATTGCGTTAGCACTTATGTTAACGATGTCACAGATTACATCTTCCATATATTGTGTACCTCTCGATACATTGTTAGAGTTGATTTTTTTTTTATTTAGTTTTTTGTGACAAAGTTCACTCTATTGTCAAGATTGATACTGAACTCTTGGCCTCAGGTGATCCTTTTTCAGTCTCCCGAGGATCTGGAATTACATGTGCCACTCACTCAGCTTCAGTTATTTTTAATGTTTGTTTGAATTTTATCTTTCCTGTTAGAGTTAAAAATTATTGTATACCATCACTATAGTTGTTTTATTTTTCAAGTGGTTATCACCCTTTTCATTTCTCATAGGCTAATCTGGTGGTGATGAACTTCCACAGTCCTTGTTTATCTGGGAGGATTGCAATTTTAAATAGGGCTCATTGGAAAAGTCACAGTTGGCACAGACAGAGAGAGGCCCAGGTTTACCTCTGAGGCTCATGTCCTAAGAAACAAAAAGAGGCCAGTGTGGCTGGGATGGAATGGATACTGGGAAGGAGCTGTAAAGAATGGGAGAAAACTAGAATGGGCTAGGTGACTGTGAAGACTGTGTTTCACTGAGTGAGATGGAGTGGAGTTGCAGGTTTGTGAACGTGGTCAATGCACTAAAAAAGTAGAGCAATTTCCCCATGCCTAAACCATGTACCATGTCATACCCGTACTTAAAACTCATGGATAATGTTTTCACAGAGCCGTGTTTCTATACCACCTTCAATTTTGGGACATTTTGACCACCCTGAAAGATAACCTGTTCTCATTTAAGGTAACTTCCATTTTCTCTCTATCTTCTGCCTTTTAACTAGATGGATTTAATAATTCTGGGAAATTCATATAAATGAAATCTTATAATATGTGATCTTATAATTTTTTTTACAATGTATAATATTTTCAGAGTTCATCTGTATTGAAACATGGAAACCTAATTACGGCCAAAAAATTATTATATTGTTTGGTTATATCACATTGTGTTTAATATTTAGCTGATAGGCATGTATATCATTTTGATTATTGGTTCATAATGCCATTATGAGCATTTATGTTTAAGTTGTGTGTGTGCGTGCATGCATGCGTGCGTGTGTGTGTGTGTGTGTGTGTGTGTGTATGTGTGTGTAAGAGAGGGGCATGGAGAGCACATATGTTTGCATTTGAGGTGTTGCTTTAAAACTATATTTGTTGGGGGCTGGAGAGATGGCTCAGCGGTTAAGAGCACTGACTGCTCTTCCAGAGGTCCTGAGTTCAAATCCCAGCAACCACATGGTGGCTCACAACCATCCATAATGAGATTCGATGCCCTCTTCTGGTGTGTCTGAAGACAGCTACAATGTACTCATAAATAAAATAAATAAAAAAAAACAAAAAAAACAAAAAACAAACAAACAAACAAACAAACAAAAAAAACTATATTTGTTATAGTACAGGTACCTGAGTCCAGGATTTCAAGCACACCAGGCAAGTACTCTCCTCCCCCAGCCTGGAAGTGTATTTGAAAGGAGCACATTCATTTGACTGAGGCTAAATGACCTAGGTTCTTAGAATGTTTGGTTTTGTTACTACTTTCTTTTTTTTAGTGGTACTTGTTACAATGTTAGGTACACACATACACATGGGCACACACACACACACACACACACACACACACACAGTCTTGTTTCTCTGTTGTACTTTTTTTTAGTGAAAATTTGACTGCATTAGATAGACTTCTTGAAAGGTAAGGTCTGTTCTGTGTGGATACCTACGTAAAAAGTGATTAAAATATCCAGATAAAAGTTCAATTTATGGAAGTTATTTTGTGAATATTTATTTTCACTTTATGTTAGTGAGTTTGACTACATGTTTGTATATGTACCATGAGTGTGCCTGGTGTCCACAGAAGTCAGAAGAGAGAGTTAGAGTTACTGGATCTGAAATTATGAATGGACCTAAACCTGTGTCCTCTGGAAAACCTACAAGTTCTCATAACAATTGAACTCTCTCTCCAGCCCCCATTTAATGGAAATTCCTAAGGAGAGGCCACAGATTATTTTCCTTATTAAGTTGAGTGAACGTTATTTAAAAATGAAGTTGAATAAAGAAGGCAAGAATGAATTTCTTACAATGGGGATAAATATTCATGGCCTCTTTCTTTCAGTTAAATATTACGAATTGAAATATTATAACATGTGGTGCTAGAGAACAGCTCAGCACTTAAGAGTATCTGTTGCTCCAGCTTTGGTTCCTAGTAGCTACAAGGTGGCTTATAGCCCCCTGTAGTTCTAGTTTCTGGGGAGTATGAAGCCTTCTTCTGGCCTTTACAGCACATATGCTTTACACATATTATGTATACATCAGGCACACTCTTGTGCACATTAAATATAAATAAACTTTCAACCAAGCATATAAAATACATATGTGTGTTTTGTGGTTAGGATTATAATAAAAAGAAGCCTGATGCCTCTAGATTAGGATATACTATGCTTTGTCCTGAAATTAGCCTTGTTACTTTCCCATTTTGGTTTTATATTTTGGAGTATTAAGGTACATTCAGTGTGGAGTATTTAAAGCCTGTTGTATCCTATGTATCTTAGCAGACAGTAAAATGTGGTTTTATTCATTTTTTATAATTAATGTAACAAGGAACTTGGAAGATGAGAAATTTTTACCTTTTAATGATTATATATGATTTTATAATAAAGCTATGACTACGGATATATGTATGTATGTATGTATGTATGTATATATGTATGTATATATAAAATTGTTTTAATTGTAGGAATTATAACCCATGGGATTATGTGGTAAATGATCTTGTCACGGAAGAGAATTAGGGAATGATGGTAAGTACATCGATTTTTATCATATTTATTTGTTTGTTTGTTTATCTGTGTCCACATGTGCCATAGTGTGTTTGTGGGGAGATCAGAGAACAGTTTACAGGAGTTGATTCTCTCATCACATGGGTCCAGGCGATTGAATGGGTCATTGGGCTTGGCAGCAAGTGCTTTTATTCATTTAGCTGTCTTACTAGCCACTATGATGGAGCTGCTTTAAAAACCAACTTTAGGTTTTCTCTTGCTTGTTGTTTGCTTCTCATTTTCTACTCCTGCCACCTGTCGCCTCAGTCTTACTGCTGTTGCAGGCACTGCTGCTGCCTTGGTCTTGTCTGACACCTGGGGGATGTGGGGTAGGAAAACAGATGAAAGCCATCTTTCCTGGCTGGTTTAATCCAGGATGGCCATTAATGTTGGGGTCCTAAGAATGGAAGCAAACAGGTTCTCATTCCTTACACTTTTACAACCCAGTATTTTCAGACACTTCTATATATGCCTTAAACTTCTCAAACAGAGTGCTTAGGAAGAGGGATGCAGTCTTGCCTAAGTCCCTCCTTTGGAAGATTTAAAGACAGGAGTAAGTCTCATAAGTATGTAGACTGTGGTCCGTGTTTGAGTATTTCTTAGAGTGCATCAGGCAGGATTTGAATATAACTTAATGCTGATGTTTATTGCTTTTATTTGAAACATTAACTATTAGAACAAGCCTGTGTAAAATCTCCATGTAGCACTAGGTGGCACACTTTAACTTTGAGTAAAACTTTTGTTGGGCTCTGAGCCTGAGTAAGAAGAATGCTGTTGAAATAGACAGCTGTAAAGTAATGATGTCTGAGATCCACTGACTGCATTTCAAACCTCGGTGCTTATAGTAAGATGATTAAAATAATTATGTTACTGATATGTTTATAAGGATTAAGTTGTTACAAATGATCAGATTTTGAGTTCTGATTGGAAGGAGCCCATTCAGCATGTTAAGAAAACATCTGTAATATAAACTGAAAAGTGTTCCAGGCAAATACAAGATGAATAGTAATATTTTTACATGTTAAATATTAGAATAAAGAGTAAAACTAAGGTTTGAAGTTAGTGGCTTTTCCTCTGATTATGTCTTTCTGTATTAAGTGTAAGAAAACTAAGTTGATTATCCTGATCTTCACAGGAGAAAGGAGCATTCAGTCTGAAGTTTCACGTTTAGTATTACTGCAGTCTTGGACTGTGAGGTCATCTGCTTTGGTTCTTGGAAGCTTGTTACTTTATGAAGACTCAAGTTAGAATACGATGTAGGAATAGTGAACTTTGTGCCCTGATGTCTATACCTGTGAGATTTCCTACAGGAGGATAAGAGAATTATCTGAAAGAGCTGAAAGTAAAGCATCTATTTGAACTTGTCCATTTGGCCCAGAGTTATTAGTGCTACTTTCGTTTAAAATGATGTTTAGGTCATCTAAGTGATACTGTTTTTACAGTGTTCCATCATTGGGAAACCTGAGAGTAAGGGAAGAAGAGATTTGAGAACTTTGCAAATCTAGAGAGCATACTATAACAAATTCAGTGAAACTTTAATTAGTTAGGTAGATACCTCTGGGATTTTCAGGCGAAGGCCAGAAGAGTGAGGGACATAAATAGAGACGTTAAGTAGAAGGTGGAGAGTTCTGGGGGAGGGCATGGGTTAGTAGATGAGCAGAGTATGCAGTTAGGGAGGATTATTTTTTTCTAGTCGTTTGGATGTTTTAGTAGTAGTTAGTTCATTCTTTTGTGAACTGAAACTATTTTTGTCACTCACTGATTTAGCAAGCATGGTCATTCCCTTTCCCCATGTGACACATTTTCTCTACCAGATTCTTCCCATGAGCATGAAAACATGCTGTCTTAAAAAATCTCATTTCTTTTCTTTAAGGTCAAACTCCACGAAATTTTACCTTTAGTGTGTTATGTCTATTTTCCCATTCGCCATTCACTTTTGGACTTTCTTTTGTGGGATTTTGATTGTTACTCCACCCAGTAGACTTGTTATATGTAATAAGTGGTGCTGGCATAGGTGCAGAGTGGCAGTTCTGCTGCTCGATGTAGCTGTTTGAACCCAAGACTGTAGTAGTTCTGCATGTAATTTAAAGTTTTAATTGTAGGGTTTTTAAACCTGAAAACAGATTTGATATCAGATGAACCACATTCCAGATTTCAGATTGGTTTGTGTGTGCATGTTGTGGAGGCCAGAATTTGACATTGGATGTCTTCTTTTCTTTCTCTACATTGCTATTGTGATGCATGTTTCAAAATATGCATGTTTGTGTATGTGTTGGAGTGTGTGTGTGTGTGTGTGTGTCCGAAGTAGACATTGGTGTCATGCTCTTGTTTTCCACCTTGTGTATGAGATAGTGTTTCTCATTGAACCTGAAGCTTACCTGTTGGCCAGGAGCCCTTGGGATCTACATGTTTCTGCTTCCAGTGCTGGGATTCTGGTGTATTTTGGCATACCTAGGTTTTCTTGTTTTTGTTTTCATTTTGTAACCTGGGTTCTAGTGATCTAAATTGAATTCCTCAGATTTGTAGATTTACCTTACATGTTACTCCATATAGTGAACAAATTTTCTCCATAGGATTCTTTCAGGGAACATAAAAATATGATACGATATTGTCTTAAAAATTTTGCTGCTTTGTCGGGCACTGGTGGCACACGCCTTTAATCCCAGCACCTGGGAGGCAGAGGCAGGAGGATTTCTGAGTTCCAGGCCAGCCTGGTCTACAGAGTGAGTACCAGGAGAGCCAGGGCTATACAGAGAAACCCCATCTAAAAAAACAAAAAAAAAAAAAAAAAGAAAAAGAAATTTGCTGCTTTTTCTTGGTGTCAGTAAGCACTTTATACGTTAAGCTTTTTCTTCTTTTAATTTACATTTACTGTGTATTTGTTTGTGTGTTTTCATGTGCACACATGCATGCAAGTGCCCCAGCATTTGTGTGGATGTCAGATGACAACTATGGAAGTTGGTTCTACTAATTTTCTTTACTATGTATGTAATGGGGATCGTGCTCCCGTCTTGACTTGCCGCCTGGAGTGTTTACCACTGAGCCATCTGCTTGCCCCCACCTTATCTTTTGAAAGAGTTTCTCACTAAACTTGGAACTTCCTCTTTTGACTCAACTGGTTGTCCGGTCTCACACCTTCCTGTACTGGAATTATGGTTGTGTTCCACCTCACTCAGTTTTTACATGGATTTTGGAGAGTTGAACTAATTTTTTCATGTTTGTACAACAAGCACTGTATTCCAGTGAGGTGTCTCCCAAACCCCTAAAATTGTATTTTAATTATTTGCTTTCTGAATAAGTATGAAGAAGAATTAATAAGAAATACATGCTAAATGGTGATTGATACCTAATAGTCTCTTAAATATTCTTATTTTAATGCATCTAGGCTTCCTTCCAGCGCTCCAATAGTCATGACAAAGTGAGGAGAATTGTTGCTGAAGAGGGTCGTACAGCAAGAAACCTGATAGCCTGGAGTGTTCCACTAGAAAACAAAGACGATGAAGGTATGTAGTTTACAAGGTAGCTTTTCCTTCCATGTAAATATGGAAGATTGGAGGCAAGAGGATTAGCCTTAGGAGTTCAAGACTAGCTTTGGTAGTAGAGCAAGATCCTGTCTAAACAAAATGAAACAAAGCAAAATGTATAACACATATTTAGTTTGAGAGAGTGAGTTGATTTAAACTGGATGTTCACAGTGAGAATTCTTCAGCAGATTGGCATATTAAATAAAATTGATTTTGTACAAAAATTGTTTAAAAAGTATTATTGTTCATTTGCTGTTTTTAAAAAAAGTTTAATGTATTTTAATAGCAAAGGAACAGCACAGAAGACAGACAAAATTAAAAACATGTCCTTGCATGTAGGATAGCTCAGTTAGAAAAGGATAGTGACGGACGGAATCTACAGTATGATGAAAATGCTACAAACAGCATTTAGTTGCCGTCAATAAGAAATTTACTTATTTAAAAAAAAATCCAAATGCTGGCATTGTCCAGAAAATTTTAACAGGCTTATTTATAATTGTTATAATGTTGAACTGTTGAAATGTGTTCACTGAAACATTTTGCTTGTATTAATGCTTTACATCTTGAATTTATATTAAAAATTCACACACAAATGAACGTGGAGAAACTGCCAATACCTGAATCTGTCCCGTGTGTTTCCACTCGCAATCATATACTTAGGTACCTTTGACCCCATGGAAAAAATACCTCACATTCACAACTACTGATACAGAAAGAAGAGGGAAAATTTTTTTTCTTTGAGAATGAAATGTTTCACCACATAGCATATGCGGCATGCTAGCTGGATATCTTTTGGCATACTTGTTACACGTTTGGCATAGATAGCACCCAGGTTGGTGTCTTCAAAAAGGCCAACCAGATAGGCCTCACTTGCCTCCTGCAAAGCACCAATAGCTGCACTCTGGAAGCGCAGATCTGTTTTGAAGTCCTGAGCAATTTCTCTCACCAGACACTGAAAGGGGAGTGAAAAGTTCAGTGGACTTCTGATAGTGCCTGATTTCCCCAGTCCCAGGCCTATAACAATGAGGTTTCTTCACCCCTCCAGTAGAGGGTTATAAAGAAAATTATATATGAGGCTGAAGATTCCTCTCCGGGAAATCTTTAGAATAAATCATTCTCTGGTGTTTGAAAATGTAGATTTAAAAAACAAAATGAGATTTGAAAAAATGTTCATCATTAGTTCATATTCATTGACAATGAATGAAATCATACTGTTCTGTAGTTTTCAGATAGAAATTATGTACTAGGGATGCTTGAATACTTTGTGTTGTTTTGTTGTATCTTATACATCATCCAAAGTTTAGCTACGTGTTATTTCTTTTGATTTATGTGTCTATTTATTTTTTTTAATGTCTTGAAGGAAAACCTAAATGTCAAACTGGTGGAAAGTCTAAGAGGACAATTCAAGGCACTCATAAAACTACTAAACAGGTACAGCATATATAATTTTTTACTAATTTGTTTAATTCATTTCCTGAAAATAATATCCATTTTACAAATTTAAATTTCAGGATTTGAATATTGTATATCTTACTTCTATAAAAGTTTAATGTAGCATTTTTAAATTTAAAAGTGTGGATTCTATATTCACTCTATGGCTAGTCCTAATTAATTAACATATACTAAAAATCAATATATCGGTCTTTCTAAGATGCCTAATCTTAAAAGGAATAAGGTGAATAGTGGTAGAGAAAGACACCTGTGCTCCTCCTTTGGCCTCCACATAGGAGCAAACACCCGGATATGTGTGTGTAACCTCCAACAGTGTCAACAACAAGAAATGATGTTACTCTATGAAGAGAAACAGAAGCTCAGAGAGGCTGTATAACATTCCAGTAAACAACAGCCAGACAGTATTTCAACCCATAGTGCCACTTTTCAGTTTATAGCCTCAGCTTCTCTGCATCCATTTCATGTTTAAGGATTTATGATATTCTTTCCTTAAGTAATGATGCTTTTAGTTTGTTGAAGTCACAATTTAGTAAGTCTAAAAGTTTCCAAATAGATTCACTAAAGCTGTATAGAATCCATCACTGCATCTTATTTTAAAAATGATCAGGATAATTATATTATACTTAGCTTTTTTATAGTATTTTCTTTTTATACTTGTGATTTTAACTTGATATTATTAGATATGTTTATATAAACCAAAAAAAATAATATAAGAAAACTAGAGTTTAACCATGCTATCATTGTGAGTTCACAGAACGGCCATCTTACAGAAGCATCAATGACCATTTGTTTTATATATGAATAAAGAGTATTTTAAAAATAAGTCAATGTTTACAGATAGAAAGGAAACAAAAATTTCTATTTAGAAGTAAGTGGAATTGAGGACACAAACTAACTAGTCAAAGCATCTAGCAGGTGAGTTCCCATGAGGTAAAGAGGCTGGATGCCATTTGTGGTGAAAATCACATTCACGGTCTGATTTGAAAACTTAGGCTTGAACTCCAGGGCTGTGCATGATTAGACAGAAAAAGACACACCCTATCATAGTCAGATAAGATCCCCAGTTAGTACCTGGTATTGGTACAGAGACAGGCAGGAAGATCAATGGAATAGAATTGAAGACCCAGAAATGAACCCACACTCCTATGGTCACTTGATCTTTGACAAAGGAGCTAAAACTGTCCAGTGGAAAAAGGACAGCATTTTCAACAAATGGTGCTGGTTCAACTGGAGGACAACATGTAGAAGAATGAAAATTGATCCATTCTTATCTCCTTGTACAAAGCTCAAGTCTAAGTGGATAAAGGACCCCCACATAAAACCAGATACACTGAAACTAATAGAAGAGAAGGTGGGGAAGAGCCTCAAATACTTGGGCACAGGGGAAAAGTTCCTGAACAGAACTCCAATGGCATATGCTCTAAGATCGAGAATTGACAAATGGAACTTCATAAAACTGCAAAGTTTCTGTAAGGCAAAGGACACTGTCAATAGGACAAAACGACAACCAACAAATTGGGAAAAGATCTTTACCAATCCTTCATCTGATGGAGGGCTAATATCCAATATATACAAAGAACTCAAGAAATTAGACTCC